TATTTGTTTATTTTGAGCTGTTGATTAAAGTATTTTTTATGTCGAGTACTGGATGCTGAAGTTAGCAATTTCAATTGCAATTTAGTGTTACAAGTACTATCTATATTCATGTATATCAGGTATGTGTTCAATTTGAAAAAGTGTGCACCTCACTTTTCGCTCCCATTGGAATTGCTGCTATTTTTGCGTCCTTTGCTTTTGAAGACACTGTTCTTCACTAGAAGATGATTGATATTGGTATTTTACCTTCCTTCTGTGTAGATATGCCAATCGAAGCTTAAGCCACTTTATCTAGTTTCCCTTCTTCAAAGTCTGCAAGGGGAGAAATCAATTGTTTTCACATCATCTGTGGAGTCCACTCATAGATTATGCACCTTGCTTAAGTTTTTCGACAATTTGCAAATTGAGTTCAAGGAGTACTCTCGTCTTCAACCTCAATCTTTAAGAAGGTACTGTAGATACATTCCCATAACAACTTTAATTTAGTTCTGAGCTTTTACATTAGTCGATTTGCTAGACAATTTTGCTGTCAGCCTGTACTAAAGATGCTTTGCATGAGCACACATGTTACTGAAGCTAACTGAAGGTAGTCATGCAAGGAGCACCTACGTTGCTGGACAATTTTGATTTACTATTGTACTGTTATACGTTTTATTCTGCTTAATCGGTTTCCAAGGTACTATATTAGAAGTGTAAAAATCTTAGGTTTGGGATAGTTTTCCCTACTCCTAAAATTGTTCATCAGAGACAATCTTCATTATCAAAAAATGTATCACGAGACAGGTCTTGTGATGCCATATGAGGATGTCTGCATCTCACAAGAAATCCTGTCTACCCTAATCCAAGTGGCTACTAAGAGCTGTTAATCTTTATATTATGGGTGTTAACCGGGTGGGCCGGTCCGGTCCGGGCCAGTATTATTTGGACCCGTACGGGTTTGGTTCCGGGCCGGTTCCGGGCTTGCTCTTAACGGGTTTAACGTGTTCGGGTTAATCCGGGTAAAAATTGAACCGTACGGTTTGCGGGTTGAGGTGGCCGGACCGGGTTTAGTGTTTTTTTAATTTTTTTTTAATATTTTGTATAACTATTGTAAGTTATATTAATACTTTGTATTAATATAAAGAATACAAGAAAGATGGGGAAAAACTGCACTTATAAATTGCAAGTGCTACATTTATTTCAAAATTACAAAATTAAAGTTTGCATTTAAAAAGTAAATTAACAAAAAAATAGTAAAACTAAATTTTCATGCATAATAAATTAATAATACTTCAAATTAATCTAACAAACTAAAACATTAAGCATAAATATGTCTAATAATTTAAAATAACACAAATTGTCTTAAAATCTTAAAATAACACATATATAGCATATTTTAAAAATAATACGTTACCATCATATTCTATGATTTTAGCATTTATAGTTTTATACCCTAAATATGTTAAATTCCAACAATTTTAAACTATGTTAATTAGTATACAATAATTGGTATATTCATGGTCTGGGCCGGTCCGGGCCGGGCCGGTTGAACCGGTTAGAGGCACTGTTCATTGGACCGGGTTTAATGGGTCCGGTTAACCGGTAAAAAATAATAAATGGTCCAACCCCCTCTACCCCTCCTACCCAGCCCACCCGGCCCCTTATGAACCGGGCCGGTCCGGTTCCGGGTCAACCCCGGCCCGTTAGACACCTTTACTTTATATGTTTAGAAAAAGGGCATGGTTGGTGTTGTTCTATCACATTCACAACCTAAGTTTATTATGGCTTTGAACTCTGGAAATTGGATTAAGTGGAGAACTTTTCTAAAAAGAGAAAAGGAAATAGAGAATAAAGAATCTATTTTGTCATCATACTTATACCTGTAGAAAGGTGTTGCTATGTTTATTTAGGACACATATTGTCGTGCAAGAACACATGTGTGAATGTTGTGGTATTTCTTGTTGTTTACTCAAGTGTACTGTATTGCAATTTCATACCGCGAACTTTTTTCGTGCAGCAAAACGTTGGGCGCCTTCCGGGCAGGACAAGTGCAAGTGCTTATATCCTCTGATGCTATGACTCGTGGAATGGATGTTGAAGGAGTTAGAAATGTCATTAACTATGACATGCCTGCGTATATAAAAACATTTATTCATCGGGCGGGTCGAACTGCAAGAGCAGGCCAAAGTGGGTGTTGCTTTACTTTATTACGCAAACATGAGGTATGTTTTTTAGTGATGATGAAGTGAAGGTTTTTAAGGTGATCTATTTTTGTAAAATGATTTTAAGTTCCGTCCCTGAAGGGAGCTGACATTTTGTAAATTACCTGATGCAGTAAATCTAACTTTTGCATGATGTTAGGATAATTAAGTACCCCTTTTTTTGTGGGGGTGGGGGGCAACAAATCATCTTGGATTAACTGAGATATTCTCTAACTGTTGAGTTATGACTACTTGAGCTGGTTCCCAACCATCAAATGGTCACAAAATTGAAAGAGAAGTCTGATCTTGAAGCTTATAAGCTACCATAAAAGCTAAGCCGTCCTCCACTGTCAGTTTGCTCCTTCAGTCTTCATATTGTGCTCCTAACTGTCACAGCAATTCAATGTTCAATTTATTGGGATAATAGGTATGTTATATGAACATACTTAAAAAATATGATGTAATCTCTGACTATTAACTACATATACCACCAGGTTTCACAACCATTTCCAAGATAATAACTTTTAGTGAAGGAGTTTGATTTGAGACATCAAATCACTAAAATTTCTTTTGCTTTTTGCTGAAAATATTCCTATCTTTGTTCTTTATTGTTTGAATATGGAATCTCTAATGCTAATTATTTCAGGTTAAGCGGTTCAAGAAGCTGTTACAAAAAGCTGACTGTGACTCTTGCCCCACCTATTCTGTTTCTTCTGAAGTTATAGAGTCACTCAACTCTGTGTATACCTCAGGTATTTTTCTTTTCCCATTTTCAGCATATTGGAAGTACTCGGCAGGACTAGTTGTTTGGTCAATGTGGTTGTAGTTGAGAATTATGAAGAGAATATAACTCGAGATCTCATATTAGCGTTTTTGGTGAAAATAAATATTTGCACAAGTTCTGCAATTGCTCTTCCGATCTCTGTCTTTTTAATTTAACCTCTTTTTTCCTTTTCCTCAAGCTTTGGAGAAACTTAGAGATAATGTTGAATCGGAAAAGTTTAAGAAGAGCAAGATTAGACTGAAGTCTTCAAATGTCAGAAAGGATAAGTGAAAAGCTGCCGCGGGGATAACTTCCATTTCTTAACCGGTGTAGTACTGAATTGCCAACCTAGGTATGATTATACCATAGGTGAGCATCTACATTTCGATGTTATTATGTGATTTTAATTTTTTATGAGATTGTGTTTCTCGATGCTTGCCTATGGATTATCACCACTGCTCTTGGTTCTTTTTTAGTGGATGCCGTGCAAAATGGTTAACAGAAGAAAGTGTTCCGATGTTTCTTTTTGACAGTGGTAATTTGTAAGGGGCTTTGTTGTACTTTTTTTTTTATCTCTTTTCTAATGCTGTTATCTTCATCCAGACAATGTAAATACATTCAGGCTTAGTGCTATTCTTGTAATTTCTTCCTTTATGTTTAAAAAAGTCACACTCTTTTAGTAACAATTGATTAAAATTTGAAGAAAGACAAGTGATTCTTGCAAAACTTTTAGTATTGGATAAGCTGAAGTAGAGGAAAATGAAAATCAAATAATCTTGTAGTACCTTTGAGTTCTCTGATTATTTTTAGTTCCATTGACCATAAGCCACCAGTCAACTTGTAGGAGAAGACGAAGTGCATGGAAGTTTGCGCCGCTAGCTCTCATGTGGGTGGTTTGGAAGGAACGAAATAAGAGAGCTTTTGAGGGTGTAGAGATGAATTTTGTTCAGTTAAGGAGGAGTATTTTATCCCTTATTTCTTTTTGGTGCACCAATAAGATTCCTTTATGTGTAGAAGAATGGGTGTCGTTCGTGGAAAACTATCTCGTTTTGTAGGTTTTCTTCTTTCGGTATACTTCTTGTATGTGACCATGTTTTTCTCAAACATTTATAAAATTATTACTTTATAAACATTTGGAGGAAAGCACCAGTTTAGAACAAAAGGAAGAAGCGCTGGGCGCAAGATCAGTTAGTATTAAATTGTAGGGAAGGGGAGCAATAGGTTTTTTTGAGGTAAAGTTGCTCAGTTGTTTTAGTAAGTATGAATGTTTTTACATTCTCATATTCTTGTCTAAATAGGTGTAGCTGAGTTCACGGAGAGAGAGCATTTATTATATGCGTGTAAGCCATTTCCAAGTGCTTGTTTTGTGGAACAAGATACTTTATAAAAGGAACATACCAGCATAACAATTTTTTAACTGTACAGAAAGTAACTTTTGGAAAATTAAAAGTAGCAGCAATAGAAATTTACTGATAGTTCGATGGAGGAATTTTCATTTTCTCACACAGATTACTTACAGATACAGTCAATATTTATCTGGTCTCAGCAAAGCTTGGACTCAACCAAGCTATGTGTACGGAAGAGAGAGAAAATTTGCAGGAGGAGGACAGCTAGATATCAATAGACTGGTCAGGAAAACTTGAAATCACCGTCAGCAAGCTTAAGTTGAGACTTTAGCTGCCAAATACAGAAAGAGACCTCTGAACTTCTTTGAGAAAATATTTAGAATTTTTTGCATTTGAAGCTGAAGCAGAATAAACTGAAGTCGATGAAGGCAATGAACTCTTCAAAGAAAGTGACTCGCTTGTGCCAGCTTCTCTCTCCTCTTCTTTGATGGTATCTAGCATCTTTGAGGCTCTTTGTCTCATGACATTTACAAACTGTGGTGGTGCTACCTCTGTAACAAACCTAGCAATACGAGCATTTGCCATCTTCTTTAGTAGGTTTTGGGAGTGAGTACAGTTGAGGGAAAGGTGCAAGATGCTAGGTAGAACTGTAGTAGTGTTTGAGGATAAGATGGATTGTATGCCTTAAAAAATACAAATGGGATGAGATTTATAGGGGTATTGATTAGATTATCCATCTGTGGTCTGGCTTAAATTGAGTCAGTCGTCTTAATCGAAAGGCTTTAATCATTTTTAGCTGTTAGTGCTGCTACTTGCTTTTAGTATTAACTGCATAGATTAAGATGTTCGCCATCACAGTCATCTTATTGAAACGATATCCTCTTAAATGGGACCGCAGAATGCAATGTGCCGATGCATGAGTAGAAAAAACAACATAACTTAAATATGCGGTTTTTGTTGCTATTGAAAGCTTCCAATTTTGAACTTTCCTTCATTGAACTGGAACCTACTGATTGAATGCCACTTGTTCTTTCTACATTTAGTGTCTAAAAACTGGTTCTTTCGTGTAGATCTGGATGTATCGTGCAGTCGGTGGCGGGTCAAGAAGACTAATCCTAGTTGGGATTGTGAAAGCTGGACTTCCATGAAGGATTATTCCCAAAACTCGGATCTCTTACACTGTACTGTGAGAAAAATTCAAAGTGTACAGCACCCAGGGTACGTCGGTGGAGACTTGTTTGATTTGATTGGTAACCGGTATGCATTTTGAGTGGCTGGAACTCTAGATTGCTGGTGCAACCTGAAGATCCTTAGCTTGAACTATCATTATAGTGGCAGCATTCTAAAAATTGAATGCACCAATTTTGTTATTCATTGGAGATCTTCATACTCGGATATTTTTCTTACTTTCTGCTGTATATGTGTACTTGCTTTAGATATTAATGTTTAGATACTTGTATTTTATCTATTATTATCATATTCCTGGGGTACATTGAACTTGGTACAGTTTTGCATTGTCTTATAGAGTTTCTTGAGGATGAGATAATTGTGTTGATTTACAAGAAAGAATGTGGAACCTTGTGAAGGTTTGGCCAGTACTCTTATGAAAATTGATAGATATGGGCAGTCCGGTGAACAAAGCATCCCGCATTCATGCAGGGTTCGGAGAAGGGTCGAACCCCAAGTTTTAGGCATCTTACGATGCTATCTCAGCGGTTGATTTCGCGGCTCGAACCCGTGACCTATAGGTCATAATGAGATAATTTTACCGTTGCACTCAAGTTCCCTTCAAAATTGATAGATATGATGCCACAGATAAGCTTCTAGGCTATTGATTTTTGGCTCCACAAATCACGTGCATCACTAATTAAATCACGTGCATTAACATGCCTCCAATTGAACGATGTTGACAACTCCCTATCAAAGAGGGTACCCTTCTTTTGTCACATTAGGCCCACTGGACGGACTACTCTTTATAATTGAGTTGTTTGGTTCGTGGGCAAAATTATGTTGGGATTATATTGCATGAATTGTAATATTGAAATTAATAATCTTGAATTGTTAAGTGCATGTACCTTTTCGAGTAATTTACAAAAATATGACATTTCAGGCGTCACTCTTGATTTTTTGATTCCACTTGTCGCATGAGCAACAATTCAACTTGCCCTTTGCTTATCCCATGGCGACACTTTTGACCTTAAAGGTTTGCCCATAAGGCAAACGGGGATCAAAAATTATGAGTGCTTCACAGTCTAGACTTACCCATACTAAGTGTTTGACTAAATCAATAGATGTATGACATACGTTTATAAATAGACTTGTATTACTTAATCATGGTTGATTAGTATATGTTTTTACCTAATAAAATCACTTAACTATGGTAAATGAATTTTCAAGGTTATTGGGTGTAATTTTCTAATACCTTTTTGGACGAATTTTGGATCACTGCACTGAAAATGAAATATATGGTGAAATGAATAGCACGTGTTTAAGTATTTTATCCAAGGATTGCTAGTCTCGGTATTAAGGTCGTATTTTGAATATGGTATAAAATAACACTACAATTGTGATATAAGATAATTTCGATATTGCAAAATAAAATTTTAATCAAATGTGAGACGAAATAATTCTAAATTTTACATCAAGATTTTTTTCTTTTGAGTAGTAAGTTTTTTCTTTTTTCTTTTTGTGTCTTTGTGCTCTTGAGTAGTAATTTTTTTTCTTTTTTCTTTTTGTGTGGAAATGAAACTGAAAAAGTAGTAAATCCTGCCTTAAAGCTGAAACACATGATGTTTTTGACAATATATTTATTATCAAAATCTGCTGAACGGTCCCCCCACCCTCCCCACCCACCCACCCTCCTCAATCCATCTTGTAATATTTGACATTTTAATTAAATGAAAATTGAAAACATAATTAAAGTTTCGAATAAACTAACAGAGGAAGCTAGAGGTAGGGATGATAAAAATCAAATCGAAACCGTTAACCGAACCCAACCGATGGCTTATTGGCTTATTGGTATCGAATTATCGGGGTAATGGATGGTGAACAGATTGAAATTTTATAATTAATAACTTAACGGTTTGGGGGCGGATTACATCAATTTTCTTATCGGGTAAACTGTTAACCCATTGACAATTTTTATATTTACACTTTCAACCATATGTATATAAAGTACTATTGAAACCCTAAATAGCTAAATCCCTAATTTCTATTTTCTAATTCTCAATTGTATGCAGTCACCAGAGACAGAGAAGTCGTCAGTCTCGTTTCTCTCTTGAACTGAAAACTGAGAACTGAGAAGTCGAAAAATCGAAATCTCAATGATTAATACGTGTATGTCTGTATGAGTAGTCTTGATGGTATTAAAAATTTGGTTATACGTGTATGACAGTATGAGTAGTCTTGAATCTTCAATTCAAAAAATACCGTTTGGTTAGATCTTCGATGGTATTAAAAATTTGGTATTGATTTGAAACTGTTTGGCATTGATTGAATGATTGTTCAAAAAATTTCTATTTGGTTGATAAGCCACCCGATAACCATCCGATAATTGTTAATCTAATACCAATCCGCCCGTTGTCTTATCGGATGGCTAGCGGATTATTACATTTATAATCTGATAACCGTTAAGCCGAACTGTTAAGCGTAATTATCCGTCTGATCCGCTAGATAAGCACCCTTAGCTAGAGGGGTGTTGCATGTTGCTATACAAACTTCTTAGTGAAAGTTCAAACTTGAACCCTAGCAATATATACAACTACAAGTACACCGTTAGTCTTCGGCAACGGCGCCAAAATTTGATCACGCCCAAATATGCCTTATAAAAAGGACAAAGCGGTCGTTGCAAATATAATCCGATTTACAAGTTCGGAGTCGAATCCCACAGAGAACAAAGGCTTAGCTACAGTTGTTCACTATCACCAAGAATACAAGCTTGAACATTCCTAACTTATAGATATTAAGATTTTTTTGTTTAACTAACTAACTAACAAATTAAAATAATAAATTAACACTAAAGATACTACGGTTGGAGAAAAGATTAAGGAGGTCTAGAGTGATTTCCCCAATTGTTGGAATCATTCCCGCTATGTTTTCTATAATTTCGCCTAAGTATTCTCTACCGATCATGAGCGCTCTGCGTGTTGTAATTCTCTCCCGCGTAATTACGCCAATTTACTAGACATACTCTCCCGAGTTACGCTAGCTGGATTTAATTACAACTCACTTAGATCGCACCCAAGGTTTCGTTATCCCTAATCCCACCTTTAAACCCTTGGTTATTGATTCCTCGCATACGTCGGGAGTGATGTTGTTCAACAACTACCAAAATATGCACTATCTCCCGAGTAATACTGTAATACATACTAAATAGGCACAGCTAATTGAGGTCCCTTCAATCAACCACAAGAATAATATAGTTAAATAAATAGAGAAAATACTACGGCTCAATTATATAAAAACATAACAAGAATTTATCCCACAAAAGGTTCCATCAAAACCCTAGATAACAAATTAACTATTCATAATAGTATGTAAAACTACAATACTAAAAGTCATAACCAACAATGAAAAATAGGAAGTGGAAAGAAAAACTCGTAGAAGAATTCCCCGCCTTGCTCCTATTGTGTCTCTGCCTCCTTAGGTCGAATATGTGTCAAAAATATGTCCAACTTCCTCAAAATACCATTTTTCCGTGTATATATACCAAATAGGGTTGGGCCCAAACAATTATACCTTCTCCAATGTGAAAAAGTACAAGTTTCAAGGCCTGGACTAGCGTGGGCGCGCTAGTCGTCGCGCATATTAACAAGTGCACTGCCTCAGTCCGCGACCAGGTCCGCGATTGCGATTTCGATCGCGTTTTTCACCCTGTTCTGTTTGGAATTTGAAAAAACGTAAAACATGAAAGTTGTAGAACTTTGAGTTAGCTTTCCAACTATATATTATATAGTTAAAATGAAGTTCTTAGCTAAGAGTTATGTCTATTTTACTGGACAGTGCGCAATATACCTACTCGAGTCTTCGTTTGTTCTTAACTATCAAAGTTGGCCCCTGACACGATCCCGGCTTAATTCCTTGTACTTTTACTCAGACTTCAAAGCTCCAAATTACTTTAATTTATTCCATAACATCTATATAGCTCGGAATCACTCCTACAAGGCATAAAACACACAGTTAGTGTAAAAGACTAGCGGTTAAAGCTCAAACTCAATTAAAGTGCATTAAATTAGAGTGTAATAAACGACTAAAATACGCAATTATAGCCTATCATAAACACCCCACA